GTGGCAATACTTTTCTGTTGCGTATGATGGTGATACTTTGGATGACACCTTTTGGAAGTTGTTTAAGGTCTGGTATAGAGATCCCGATACTGTCATTTCCAACATGCTTGACAATCTGGATTTTGATGGATAATTTGACTATATTCCATACATTTGGAGAGACCAGATGGGGTAGCACACCTGGAGTGACTTCATGTCAAGTAATTATACTTGGAAGCATGTGGTGCATCTTTTTTTTGTGATTTTGAAACCTAGCTAATTGAGTTTCAGGATCTTATTATGGACAAAGACAAGGAGAATGAGGGCGCCATGTACTGCCCTATTATTTTAGGAAGTGACAAAATGACCATTTCAGTTGCAACAGGCCATGTGGAATATTATCCCTTGTATCTGTCCATTGGAAATGTCTATAACATGGTTCAGTGAGCCCATAGAGATGTGGTAATACTCATTGGATTTTTAGCCATTCCAAAAAGTAAGTCTCATTACTTCAATACTTGCCATTGTTGTACACTCATTTAATGTTGAATAAGCAATTGTCAAAGCAATAACAACCTTGAGTTCTGCAAATTCAAACAGCAGCTCTATTATGCCTCACTCTTGACCATTCTTCAATTGTTGTGCCCAGGTATGACCAAGCCCATCATTTAACAATGCCCTGATGTTCACTACTGTCATGTTATATATGATTTCATGGCATATATTGCTGATTATCCAGAGCAGGTGCTCAGTGGTATTATACAAAACTGGTGTCCAAAGTACATGCATTTTTCTCACCATTAAAATAATGTCTCATTGTTTACAGAGGTACCTCACTGCCTGACAACCTTGACAGTCCTGAAGGCAGGCAAACTCAGGAGCTCACCCAACATCTCATGGATACCTGGAGCCTGAAGGAACTGAGAGATAATTATGGTATTAATACTAGTGTTACATGCCTGCCTTTCCAGGTCTCTGTTGCTTTCCTCATGGCTGCCATTTTAAACAGTGTACTAGTGATGACTCAAAGGCTTTGATGAAGGTACGCCGGTGATTTTTTAAAGGGTGACTGGACCTAATTATATGTTACAAGATTTATCTCTCTACTATTACATGTCACATCCCTTCAGAAATGATCCAATGCATCTTGGCATTCATTGATGCATGCTATATATGCTGCTGTGATGATTTATTGGAAACCTCAATCAAACAATTAGAGACCTCAATCACCCGCTTTCATATATGCTTCATGAAATCTTTCAAACAATCAGTACTCACCCCACTGGGTTCTTGCTCCCTCATCAACATGCCCTCCCTCACTACCCAAATCAAACACATCAGTTTGGTGCTCCCAATGGCCTCTGTTTGGTGATCACAGAGTCAAGACATATCACTGCAGTCAAGAAACCTTGGTGCTGGTCCAATCGTTATGATGCCCTGGGACAGATGCTTGTGAGGAACCAACAACTTGATAAGCTGGCAGCATCACGTTCTGACTTTGTTTCTCACAACATGTTGCCTGCAGATCATTCTGACCCTCTGACAGCCTTTGCACCTGATGTGAATCCATGATGGAAATGGACAAGATGAAGGAGCCACTATTGATGATGAGTATGTGACTGGAAATGTAGTCCTCCCTCGGAAACCTGGTGTGTATTTTTTTGTTTGTCTGTTCTGGCATACTACTGACTGACATTAACTCTAGAGCCTAGTAAAATCTATCCTAGGAATATTTCCCATCTTTTGATTGCCACGAGCCTTGAAGATCTCATTTGATGCTTCTTGTTTGATCAACTTAATGATGATCCTACTCTTTCTGCCAACACAGTGCCACTCGAAGCCTGTCCGTGGTTCACTGGAAATGTCTATGTCTATCATTCAGATATTGCAACATTTTACACTCCGAGTGATGATTCAGGGATCTGTGGAATGTGCAGGGAAAGAATTCGATCAACTCTGGATTGGTGAGGTAGGGGAAGCCAGTGTGTTTGTCATTCAGGATGACAAGCAGTCAGGAATGAAGGGGCTTGCAGTTGTACAGGTCAGGCTTTTCTTCTCATTGGAGCATGACAATACGCTCTATACATGCACCTTAGTGGAATGGTTCAAGACTGTCAGCAGGTCCTCCGATTTGGAGACCGGAATGTAGAAAGTCAGGCTAGATACAGTAGATGGTCAATGGGAAATGTCAGTTCTACATCTGGATTCCTTTCTTCGAGATGCACACTTGCTTCCTATATTTGGTAGTCGCTACCTCGACCTCGATTTTCATTATTCACATAGCCTCGATGCCTTTGATATGTTTTATGTCAACAAATTTGCGGACCATCATGCACACGAAATAGTGTGGCATCTTAATAGTTTGAATACTATTTTAGAAGCTTGCATTCGAATTGTTCACGGTCTAGAACATATCAAGATTTATAATCTTTGTAGAGAAAATGATGCACAAAACAAGTTGTAGACGACTTTGATCTAGATCATCTACCGTCCTAGACCACCTATCACGGTCCTAAGCAACTTCTATAACACCTAGCACATTGCCATCTTGCTAATGTCAACTGCAAGTCAAGAAGGAAAATTACCAATTGAGCACACCTCAATAGATCCCACAGCATTCAAGGCCTTGCAGTTCAACGTGAAATGTCGGTGAGCTACAGAGTTGCCCTTCTGTCCACAAATAGGTGGAGATCTTGATGAACTTCAAGTTTGACACGGTGAGCTTGAAAATACAAAATATTCAAGAGACCGCACAAGCTGATGGAAGTACTATGTATAAAACTTAAGTTGAACTAATGATGGAAAAATGGGGTTCTGACCCTAACCCCAATCCATGGGTGTCCCTCGAAATCTTTTCACTTATAACCACGATGTCAACGAATCCAATAACGCCCATCACTGTTCTTCCTACCTTCGCATCCGCCGAGGAGCATGCAACCATCGTTGGATCGACGCCCGCGTCTTTCGCTGACATTCCACCTGTCCTCAAACATAACCAGCCCAATGTTCGTGTCATCCTCGACCCTCCTGTGCCCGGGTTCGAGGATGCTTCCACGTTGGAGGGAACGTTGTATGTGCTTACCAGGTATGTTTTATGCTGGCAAAAATAAAGCAGAGAATCTAACTATCTCCGTACAGCGTCCTAGTATTCTTCTCATCTACAGCATCGCGTGGTTTCACGATCGCTTATCCATCCATCACCCTTCATGCCATTTCGCGCGCGGGTCCGGAGCCGTCGATATACTGCCAGCTTGATGCAGGAGTTGTGGAGGGTGCGGATCCAGAAGATGAGGACGCGGAGACCGAGTTACAAGAACTTATGGTCATCCCTAAGGATGCTTCAGCGCGTAAGTTCAACATCCCTCCGTCCTTTCATCCAAAACTCAGCAACTGAATTACGTTTTCTCCGAAGTTGACACGATATTTGAGTCCCTCTCCCTTTGTGCCGCCCTCCACCCTGATCCCTCTTCTCCCAATGACGACGACGAGAACGACGACGCAATAATCGACTCTATGAACTCCCCCTTTGATATGTTCACTGGCTCGGTGGATGAGGAGCTCTCCGAGGTCGGCCGGGTGAGGAATTCTTCACTGCCTGATGACGTTAGGTACCAGCCGTACTAGAACTTTTTCTTTCGTTGGTGCTTGTGGGTAACAGGCCGCGCTCGTCCATATCCAGTCGATTATCTACGATCCATTTGAACACGTTGAAGAGGAAGAGGTGGAAGGGCCACCGCAATCGGATGACGAGGAGGACGAAAAGGGTGGGGCATTTGAGGATGCTGATGAGGATGGGAAGGAGAGTAAACCTGAAGCAAAATTTGAAACAGCGAAGAAACACGCTCAGGAAAAGAAGAGTGAGAAGACGACCGTTGAGCTCGCGTCCAAGACCACGTCTCCCTAGTTTTCTTTTCCCTCCTCCCTGTGACGCTTCTCATAAAAAACCTGTCTTTGATGAACAGTGAGAAGGAACAAGGAAACGCAAAAAGCTGAAGTTCGTACCCCGTCCAAATTAGTGGCTGGGCCGACGAATTTTGATCAAGGGTCCAATCTCATCTTCGCCCAGCGTCGGCTGCACGAATAAAAAGAGAGAAAAGACAAGTTATCAGCTCAAGGCGTTCACTAAGCCCATTACAAGATGCTTAGTGGCACTCCACTTGGACGGAACACCCTGTGGGCTTCAACATATTCTAAAGACGCAACTCCAAAGAGTCGGCAGGGCCTCTTAGCAACTGAGTTCTGACAGCGGGATGGAGTATTTAAGTATACATGAGTCTAAATCGCCAGGCTCTCTCATGCCTTGCACGTCCGAGAGGCCCGGCGTAGTGGTACTCAGCGGCATTAGAAAATTTGGTAGGGGTGGGGGAAATCAAAAATCAAGAAGTTGAATGGTCAAGTTACAAGAGGGAGAGACTTTCAGAGAGAACTTGGGGAGTTGTCTAATAGTTACGTCGGTTCAAAGAACTGGCATCTTCCATTTGCAAGACTAGTACATACTTCGACTCTGATAAGGATTCAGAAAGTACGATAGACAAAAACAATAGGATCTAATTTATGTGTTTGATACCTCATAAACAAAAAGAGAGCTACACATATAAGAAGACAATAAATTGGGAAAAGGCTGGGGATAGAGGGTATAGATCTCCCAGATACAACACATGGGAAGATCATTTGTTTAACTACCTAACCTTGAAACGGTAAGCCTGTTGGTACATTCGGACTTACCATGCCAAAAAGAACAGAGCTACGAGCGCATGGGGGCACCGCGGATTGAACGCGGGACCTTCAGAACTTCAGTCTGCTGCTCTCCCAACTGAGCTATGCCCCCAAAGGAATGCCTTGTTTTGGTTGAGGAATGATAGAGGAGAGTCCGGCTTATCCAGTGCTGTTGCCTGGATTTGGAAATATTGCGTCACAAAGCATAGTAATCGTTTCGGGGGATAAAACAACGGTGCAGACTTCTACACATCTTTTCCTCTTCCATATTTCCCGCCAATACTGACTCGAACGAAATGTGTACCGGGGGCATAGCTCAGTTGGGAGAGCAGCAGACTGAAGTATCCAGCTTCAAGACTGAAGGTGGGGCATTCTGAAGGTCCCGCGTTCAATCCGCGGTGCCCCCATGTTATCAGCTTGTTATTCATTTTTCCCATTGGGCTATAATGCCCGGCAGGGGGGAAATGGAACTGACGCCTTTTGAACAGTTTCGGTCGTGATGTTCGTCCAAAGTTTGAGATAAGCCGGAAGTCGTTGTGATTTCTGGATCATTCCTTCATTCCTTGCATCCTGGCACCAGTAGATACTAAAGGGTGACGCACTCATGAAGAAGGAAGCACGTATTCGATTAGGGAGGGTGAAGCCTGCAGTGCAAAACGAATCAAACGATCGAGGCACTCACCCGGGCGTTGCCGAAAGAGTTAGGGGTAGAGTGATCAGATCATAAGCAAAACAGGCTTCTTGCAAGTGAGAGCGAGCTTCACCCAGTGGTTGTGCTATGATTTATGATTGCGCCCCGCCTGCATGCTCGCGATCTGAGTTTGCAAGGGCGTTTGCCAAGGGAATTCATACTTGCGAATCGTGGTGCGGTATACAAAGAACCAGAGGAACGAGTCTGATTCTTTGAGCCTGGCCAACTTGTAAATCAAATGATGCCTCATGATGGCATGATCGTGCTTCTTACCATGAGCCTTCAAGCGGACTTTCACTTCACCTTGATGTCAATCTGTCGTTAGACCTCTACATTTGCACCTGGCCCGGGAAGAAAACTCAGAGATCAAGGTGCTGTACCAAAGTAATCTACCATGGGAAAAGGGAAGAAGGCCTTGAAGACGTACAAGGCAAGTACATCAAAAACAATTCGATCACATCTAATGTTGCTCATTGTCATCACAACTCGCAGACTCCCGACTCTAAATACCTGGTGCTAGTGAAGCCTTGGCCGCCAGATGACAAGCACCCAAGTTTTATAACCAACGTTGCTGCATGGATCGAGTTCATGTTGAGAGAGGAGTATCCTGAGGATTCGAAAGCACACGTGCTCTATACCCAAAACACAGCACGTCTACCAGTGGTCTTTCAATGCATCTATATGACTAACTGTCTCTAAAGCACCAGAATATCATTGTTGAACTTTCAGGCTCTGTAGAGGTGCAACCTTACATCGGGAAGCATGTACATGACAGGTTCCTCAGCAACTCGGAAAGGTTCAAGGTTCATAACCTTGATAGGACAGGTATTTCATTCGTGTACGAGTACGACTATGAGAGGCATGGTGATCCGATGCATCGTAGTGAGTTTATCATCCGACGACAAGCTATTGAAATAAAGGATTAACAAACAACTAAACCTCAGATTGGACGGCCAGATACCCAAACTGGAACAATTACGACCCAAGTTATTATCCCTTCAAAGAGAACTATCCCATCCCTGAACCTGCTCCACTACCTTCGTATGAAGTTAACTATGCGAAACGGCCTCGTAACGTTGCCGTTGTCCCTGTGGCTGCCATGGATTACCAGGTGAGCTGCTACATCTTGCCTGCAGGATTCAGTGACCTTTTTAACGCCTTTTTCTTTTCATGGAACCTAGGTATCCTTTCTCTTCTATCACGCCATTTCATCTATTTAAAGTCCTCTTTTCAGCTCATAAATGGCGCTCCGAAGTCTCTCCACATCAAACGCGAGGAACAAGGAACACAGTCGACGTTGACAAAGCGGGATCCGTACGAAGAAGGTTTTCGTAGTCACCTGATGCACCGTTGGCATCTCCTAATTTCTTCATTTGCAGATGAAGACGCCGTGCGGCATCTCAAAGGTGCATCTCAAGACCTTCTCCCGAAACAGGAACAAAGCGTAGAATATGGTTCGTCAACAACCATTTTTTCTAGAACCTGACCTTATACAATGAGTTGCAGCCTTTGGCGTTAAGGATGAACCATTGTCCGATAACTTCGCATCAACGAAACGTGAGCGGGCTAAGTCTACTACTTATACGAGACATTAATAGCTCTTCCTATTGGCTCAGTTGACTACTCCCTGCGATCGACACCATTGAAGAGAGAGGACAGTTTATGTCAAGCCCAGTCTGGTTCACTCAAGCATGAGCCTGGAGGTGGATCTCCCCAACCATCGGCTACCTTATATGCGCTGATATTCGTTCTCACGTAGAAGGTGAATATCAACCCTCCGCAGAACTATTGGCTGCGTTCTCTAGTCTTCCGCCAGAGACGTTCAATCCACTCCCAAGCGTGAAAACAGAAGAGGAACTTGATGGTGAGGCAACTAATAATATGTCGACATTCAATTCACACATATGTTGCGTAGCTCGATCACATCGCACAAGGTTCTCCAAGAGCGAAAGTTCAACCACACTGGCGACAGACTTCGGCGAGCTTCATCCTGGATCGTCAAGTATCCGCATCAAGCCTGAACCGAAGGACGAGGATATGCTAGTTCCGCTTCAGCCCTCGCCTCTGAGAAAGACATCTGACTCACGGCGAGAACGTTCCACGACGCTTGCTTCCGAAGAAGCTGTGAGGGTGAAATCGGAACCTCGTGATACTCATACCTTACCCTCGTTTGATCCACGACCAAGGCACAACAATCTGAGGGAAGCAAGGGGCTTAAGGGTGAAACCTGAACCTCAAGAAAAGACGAGCGTCTTAGCGATTCCATCGAGGGGTCAGACACTGGATCCTAGACTAGCAAGGCGGGCTGACGCTGGATGCTCAGTGAATGGCCGCGCTTTTCCTCCTCCGCCTCCCGATCCCAGGCTTGCGAGACATGGCGCCGGGGAGCATGTGCATATCAAGCCCGAACCTCGAGATATTAGTTCGTTGTTGCCAGAGCCGGCGACGCAAGATCCCAGAGTAGCGAGGCGGACTATGATTCCTGACGGGAAACGAAGGGTGGAGGACGAGAGTGATACTGGTGAGTCAAGAATATAGATTTTAGGCCGCTTTTGACAACATCCAATTTATGCAGGGAGGATGAAGCGGATAAAGTCGGAATGGCAGTAGATGCATCGGGTTAACGAAGGTTGACGAATTATTAATTATACAAGTTGTATTGAGAACATGTATGTATGTGTCAACATTAACGAAAGCTGAAGACGTTTGGAGGGGACACTGGTTGGTTTTAAGAAAGGTCCTCTGACAACTATGGAATTCACTGTGGTCATATACCGCTATTGTAAATATGTAGGAGGCTCAAGATTCTTCATAAGGAGGAACATCATCCAAGAACTTGATCTCATACACTATATACTACACATGTCGTATTCTTCTTCATCTGTTTCAACACTTTAGCCACCTGCCTTCCAGTATGCAATGTCGCCATCGATCACTACAATGATAGATGTATGAATCAGTATCACAATTTCACGCCTAGTAGAGATGAAAAACGCACTCTCATAGGGCTTGCCTTGTTGCCTCAGCTTGCCAGCAGCCTTGACGGAGGCCTCGGAACCATACTCCTTGAGGTCATCATAGGACATGATTTCACCGCAAACGAATTTGTTCTCAAAGTCAGAGCTGTACACGGACAGTATTTCAGGATCTCACTGGAGGTTAGCGTGGATGGAGGAGGAACGTACTGGATGACACCAGCGGCCTGTGGTGCCTTGGTTCCCCGCCTAATTGTCCAAGCGCGGACTTCGTCAGGACCACATGTGAAATAACGGATGAGCTATTGTCAAACAGATGTTTGGTTAGTTGTTGCGATAAGATGGGACGAGAAGATTGAGAGGAAGGACGGAGACTGACATCGAGACTGCTGTATCCAGCCTGTGTGATCTTGCCGAGAGCGCTGTTGGCGCCAATCTTGGTCTCTTCCTCCTTCTTCTCCTCAGGCGACATTACCACGAGGCGCTCCTCAAGGGCAACGGAGAAGGGGATAAGTGGGTCACCGGGGTTATTGGCGTCGATCCAGGCTTTGATCTTGGGGAGCCTGAGGAGGGGTTGAATTGATAAGTTGGGTGGTCAACGAATGGAAGGGAAGAAGGGCGGGACGGACCATTTGTTCTTCTTGCGGATGTAGTCGCGCTCGCTGAGATTGACGAGGTAGGTGACGGGCTTGGCGGTGAGAAGGGAGAGGCTGTTGACGACGTCGATCTTTCAGGAGAGAGTAGGTTAGTGAGATGTTGATGTGTCGAGGGGAGGAAGAGCGGAGAAGGAAGGTCAGACAAACGGTTGTTCTCAGAGACATAGTGGGGCGTTACTCCCGTCTCGACGAGCTGGGTTATCGAGCTTCGAGCTCTTTATCGTCATATAAAGGAAATAGATATTGTATAAAAGGTGCAGCCAAAAGTGAACGCAGTTTACCTGTGGAAGGAAGCGAGTCAGTAAGGTTCGAAGTAAGGTCGGAATATGCGATAAGAAGAGAAAAAGAATGGGTAGTCAGCAAATAAAAAGATCTCATAGGAATATTGGGGCGTTACTCCCTCCTCGACGAGCTGGGTTATCGAGCGAAATGCTCTTTTTCATCATGCAAACCTCGAAACGAGAGGTGGTGAAAGGGGAATGGAGAGATAATCACCTGCGGAGAAAGGAAGTCAGTACTGTAACAAACGATGTTGGAGAAGAGAAGGTATAGTCAGAATATAAAATGTTCTCATAGGAATATTGGGCGTTACTCCCTCCTCGAAGAGCTGGGTTATCGAGCAAAATGCTCTTTTTCATCACACAAAAGAAAGAAACGAAAGAAACGAAAAACGAAGGAAGTACCCACCTCTTTGTTGCTCCATTCCGCTTTGCGGGCATCCTTGTTGTCCTCAGTGAGGACCTTCAGGACTTTTTCCACTGTGGCCTTGAGACTGAGGTCAAAAGAACTCGGGGTGGGAGACGAGACGGAACTCACGATCTCTTCTTTTTTCGCCTTGTCGGCGAGACTGGTGCTATTGAGGGCACGGCCGGCACGCTTCAAGTTCTCAAGGGACTTCTCGACCCACTCTATGTCCTTGAGCCGCAATTCCGTTTGAATGATTTCCATGTCGCGGAGGGGGTCGACGTCGCCCTCAACGTGGATGACCTCAGCGTCGTCAAAGGCACGAATCACCTGGAAGATGCCGTCGACGGCGCGCACGTGCGACAAGAAAGAGTTGCCGAGACCAGCACCAGTAGATGCAC